GATAGGATGAGGTCGGAACTCCACGCCACACGTACAATTTTATTCGCTAAGAACGATAGGGCGTGTCAGCGGGTGCTGGCGCGGCGCCAACTGGTTTTCCACCAATCTTGATTGCCTGCCAGTTTCATCAATTGATGGAGAACTGGATGGCGCCGCGCAAAGCCCAGCCTCTGACACGCCCAACTATCCGCAGCGAACAAGACTGTAGAATACCTCAGGGGCTTTCTGAATGCAGAACGACAGCGAAGAAAGGGCTCGTATTTCTGCTCGCAGAGAGGACACTCTATAATTCCTTCCGGGGTCCGGAGCTTACGGGAAGGAATAGGAATTCAGACTGTCACTGAAAAAAGTATTCACCTCGCCCAGAGTTACTCAGGGAGTTGAAGAAGGTCAAAGGAGATAGACAGGTACTGGGTCGTACTTACAGTTAAAGGATAAAGCTGAACGACCAATTTTCCTTACTTGTCATCGTCATGGCGCATGTCGAAGTAGCGCCTTCCTCCCAATTCTGTCCAGATTAAAAGGGCAAAACATCCATCATTTGATCAATCCTTTTTGGGGTACGCCACGCAATCTACTTCCAATCAGAATTGAAGGGGGTTTTGAGCGCGTAGCGCGGCGCAAGTCTTGTACAGAAGCGGTGGTTCTTATCCATCCAGATCCTCAAGCAATTAAACGACACCATGGGATTGAAAGGCTTGGATGACCCGGGTGAACTGCGTCCCAGTGTCCAACCCTCGTAGCGCGCACGTGGTAGGCAGCAATAGCTACCTCTACACCTGCTCTTGGTTCAACATATTTACTCAAGATTTTGAAAATTTTCGAAATTTGAATTGGCTATTTTCAGACGTCCGATTTGGCGTATTTTGTTAACTTCATCATCATTGGTGTCACGGTTTTGGTCATTGCCGTTCCTGAAGGTCTTCCATTAGCTATCACATTGGCTCTTACGTATTCCGTGAAAAAGGTCGGTTACTTTTGACTTTCCTTCTACGTGTCAACCCAGCTGATCGATAGCGAAGAAAATCAAATGGGCATGAGAAAATGAGAGAAATCTCGTTCGCGTGAAAGGGACTAGCGTAAGGGGGTGGAATGCATGCATGTAGCACAACGTCAGTGTTTCATGGGGAAACGATAGTTCTCATGCGCGTTAAAATGACACCTTCTCCTTGACAGTAATAGCCGTCAGGTAGTCCTGCTCCTAAACGTGCATATATAAATGTAAGCATTCAATAAGTTCGGCAATTTTCTATTATCGTAGAGTTCACGGCGTGTTGTGGCAGCGCTTATTGATCAGTTCATCGAGGTTTTTGTGATCTACCAAGTGATTTATTCAGCCGTAGAAGTTAAAATGCAGCCCATCACCAGCTTAGCTTGTTTCTTGAGGTGGAAAGCTCTACAGTAATCGCAGCTAATGAATCGGAATGATAGCTGGAACTCTTTTCCGACGAACAATTGGGCATTTCGCTTGAAGTGCCACCGTCGTTCTCGGGAATCAATTTACCTGCAGCCGCCGTACTTTTTCCATAGTTGCTACGGGGCGCCTAAACGATGACTGATTAGGCTCGGAAGGCTCACTAGTAGGGATTCAGACAGAGCATACAAAAGTTCCATTGAGTTCTCATTTTCCAAGAGGGTGTGCACTTCAAAGCAAGTGCTGTTCAAGGTTCCAAAGGAATCATATGTAACCTTTACTCACTTGACCAGTTCGAAATGGTACTGAACTAACAACCTAGTCATAGAGTTGAGGGCATATTCCGCGAGATCCGGATGGGTGGAGGGAAAAGAACCATCTTATTTTGCTCATTTGTACTAACTTCCTTCGAAGACGGTTCAAAGGAGGGGGCTTCCACCACCGCCCAGGTGACCAGCGTGAAATCTGCCCTCACTGTTCAAGTTAAAAACTCACCTTCCATTAAAATGGAACTGAATTGAACACGTAGTCATCCTATTAAAGACGTTCCACTATATCCGGATGGGTGGGGAGAGATAGCCATCATGCTTTGCTCTCATGCTCCTTCGCTGCCTGAAAAAAAGCATGATGATTATCCTCTCACGCTCCCACCCCCCCATCCGCGAATTGTGACGTAGTGAACGCTTGCAAAAATCTGAGTGTTTCTAGATGATGAAAGACAATAATCTGGTGCGACATTTGGACGCTTGTGAGACGATGGGTAATGCGACAGCGATTTGTTCAGACAAGACAGGAACGCTAACAACGAATCGAATGACTTGTGTGCAGTGCTATATTAATGGTAAGTGCTCTCAGTTGTAGCACCAAATTCTTGAAGAACGTCCCAAAAATCTAAAGGAACGCCTCTTCAAGGACACAATCCCAGTGCTTGAAGGAAGAACCCGCCCGCCGATATCTCAGATGGTGGATTAGGGGGTTCCATATAGACGACAAGGGTTGAGTAACTCGACTGTGAACAAAAAAAGCACAAAACATGCCACCTGCCCTAGATAGAACCCCATTTCGATCCCAGTTTGTACGTGCCCAATCAACTCTATCTCCAAAACTACGCCCTCATATGCACGGCTGATTCACC